TTTTTGATTTTATTGAAAGAAAAAAAATGCACATTTCAATGTCGAATATTGTACATTAGTACAATATTATAACAGTTGGTTAGTTTTTCCAACAAACTAAGGGGAAAAAACATGCAATTAAGAGAATAATTATAGTTGACCAATTAAAAAACAAATAATTCCAAAATAGAAAGTCATTAACATTTATTCATATTCCCAAGAGCAAAAAATTTTTTTAAAGAAAAGAAAAACAAACAAAACAATTGGAGACATAATAATACGGTAAAATAGGTTATTTCCATTTGTATAGGACGTTTGTTATTTAATTACGTGAGAAACTATTTATGTCTTTTAACTCGTAGATTATGATTGGTTATCGGTTAAGTAATTTCTTTCATCATTATCTTATGTATACATGTATATTGTTGATATTTATTTTAATGGTATATTTTAAGTGTTAATTAAATTCATTGAAATAATGTAAGTTAATACATATGGAATGTTTGTTGACCAACTGCTGTAGTAACAATTAGTCTGTTTTTTTTTTGTTCTTTTTTTTTTAAAAAAAAAGAAAAGCTATTTGCAACAAAAAGAAAACTTTAAACTTTATAGTTTTATTCTATTTTATAAAATCAAATTTGTTTTAATTTTAACAGCACATTTACATACATTTTAACATTAATTTTTGTTTCCAAGTTAAAGATTCGTTTTACACTTAGTTCATTCGGGAATTGTTACTAAATAACATAGTTGAAATGTGTAAATCTGTTTGTCATTATGATACTATACTGGGTATATATGTATATACCACAATGAAGTACCGTGTTGCCGCCCGTAAAATGGCGTTAAACATCTGTAGCATGTGTAAAATGTAGACATTTGAAATAAAAAGTAAATATTTAAAATAAACGTATTTTCAATGTTGAATGTAACTTTTTTTAATATTTAGCTTGCCTTTCTTTTTGACCAAAACATTGATGAGATATGTGGAGTTTTTTTTTTCAAGTCTTGACTTTTCTTTCTACATTTAAGAATCTGAGTAGTTTGTATGTAGGTTTTAAAACGTTGGATTCGTACACGAAATTATCGAAAAATGACGTTGAATAACATAAAAAATTTTTAAAATTAACTATATTTTTCAATTGCACTATCTATTATTACTATTTTAGGTAGTAAACAGATTCTAAGTAGCAAATGGTAGCAAGAATATAGTCTCACTGTACAATACAACTTTATGAAATTAGAATTCATTAGTGAATAATAATCAAATTGTTTTATAACAACTTTCTAAGCTAATCAAGGTATTGACTTTATCAGTATAGAGTTGTAATGATCATTAAGTTTTTGATTGTGATCGTGAACCAATTGATGTTAGACCACCACTGAAAACGTGGAAGCACTAGACAGACTTTTCGTTCTTGTATGAGATTCCGCGGCAGTGCGCGTTCACGATCCTGCTCTTAGGATCCGAACCCAAGGTCTTCAGTCTTGCGCGCGAACGCTTAACCTCCAGACTACTGACTCGGCATCCAACGCTGTTAATGTCTTACCTCAACCAATCCACGAAATTGTGCAACCATCTTCGATTGCACTGAGGTAGATACCTGTCTCTAGCCGACTAGGATTAACAGTTAATAACTGTGTTCACATTTCCTCACGGAACTAGTACTTTTACAAAAACAAAATTTTCATATATATACAATTGTACAGCTTGATAATAAATTCGTTGAAACGAGATCCCTTCGCTGAAATTCGTGTTTTATTCACTGATTGTTATACTTTTAAACTATTGGATGTATTTACATTACTTTTTATATACCATATTTTAACTTACCATACATATTTTGTTTTACTGTTATTAATCCTATGTACAGTGATAAACTATATTCCTCAATAGACTGTTCTACTCCGAAATTCCAGTTTCTTTTATGAATTTGTGTACAAAAAATTACAGTCAAATATAGTCCCTATGTCTCTAGGTTAATATTTTTTCATTGAATATTAACAAAATATAAAAGAATATTCATGTCATTTAGTTACAGTCACTTGATTCTGTTGAGAAAGAAGCCAAAAAATGGTCAGGAATAAACAAAAAGTTAACTAACAATATCGGTTTTTGTAAAAATATAACTAGTTTACTATAGATTATTATTAATAGAATGATTATTTCTACCAAGATTTCTTGATTATTATTTACAAAACTATTTCATTTAGTAACATTTAATGTTTTTACTTTACTGATGACATATTTTTCCTTCATCATTAACTAACCGTTTATTTAAAATACATAATGAAGTCAAATTTCGCATAGTAACTTGTCAAATCCTAACAAATTTTGAATTTTCCGATCAGGATCACAAACCGATTTGAGTAAGACAGCCATTTGTGACCTGAAACCAGTGGACGGCTGTTTCATTCTAGTACGAGACCCACAGTTGAACCCATCCACGCCTCCGCATCTGAGGATCGAACCAAAGACTTTTGGTCTCCCGTGAAAATTGACCCGGAAAACGATAGTTTACAAATCTAACTTGCCATCTAACTTAAACTGGTTCGTGATCTACGTGAAATTCAGTAATAGCAACAATACTCTTATGATAATTATTACGTGCTCACTGGTAAGCCACATCGAAAGCAAATATGAAAAATCAAAAACTGTCATGAAAAACCAACTTCTCAAACTTTCGATGTATTTATTATCTGTTACTTTTCTATTACAAGAAATAAACTTCTTCTGCCAAAAATATTATAACAGTTATTCCGTCTTTCTTTCTTGTAAATACAACTGTTAAGTTAATCAATGGACACATCTATAGGAACACACTATTCATAATCCTGATAAATAGCTCATTTGAAACTTTGCCAACTAATTTTAATTCTCCGATCGTCCCGATTTACGCCTGTGAATTTGTCTCGAACGTCTAAATGTCGAGTGTTTGCAAGTGAAACATAATATCCTGGTTCGATTTTCATATGTGGACTCGTGGATCCGTTCCGCTTAATAGTCTTATACTAGGGCGAAACGCCTTTTTAATGTTTCCGGATTTTCAATGGTACTCTAGCTAAGATTGGTTAATGGTTAAGCCATAGACATTTTACAATATTCACAAAAACACAGTACTAATAGTAGATCATAGTTGCAAATTAATTTTATTATTAACGGTTAGCTCATTCCGTCTATTTAATGAGCCATTAATCTACTTTACCTTTTGTTTGTTTTCATTCCGATGGCTTTCATACACTATCCCTTAAACTCCGCTGGCATACAATGTAACTTCAGGGTGGACGCAAAGCTACCGAAGGCTGAACGTTGCCGAATACGGCGCATTACTTTGCATTCAGTATCTTTTACTGTCTTTAAGTGCTTTCTCATTCATCACCTCCAGAGTACTCTTTGAGTAAATATGAGGATTTCTAAAGCATTAAATCCGTAGAATAACTTTTACTTATAATAGAATTATACGTAATATGAAAGCACTAAAGCACTAGGTAAAAAAAATAATTCCTATTCATTCTACTATATTTTTTCTCTTTCCCTCGATTGGTACTCACTATATAAGTGAAACAGTATGATTTAATTTTTGTAAAAAAAATATAGTTTCAGTAAGTTGAATGGTAAGTTTTATATATGAGTAAAAATTGATTGTCCATAAATTATGAAGCAAAAGAAAACAATGAATGGCAAATAATCATTACTGAGTTCAAGTACCTAACATTCACTGATAAGTTAGATAATATTGATTATTTGTACTTCGGCATTCATAAAATAATTCATAAATATAATTATCTTATTACCATGCATTCAAAGGTACATAGTGAAAAAACAAGATATTTGATGATCTATTCACTTTTTAATGTTCTTCAGCCGATGATAATACGAGATTTATTCAATCTTATAGTTAAGTGAAAATCACCTAGTTGGACAATATTTTAGTCTACACTTACAGCTTGTCACAAAATGAATTTATTCGGGTTTGATTGAATAGTGATTTGTGAAGTTAACTGAATCTTTAACTAGAGAACGAACTTATTAACTATAATTTTAAAATATTTCAAATCATCATGCACTACATATCATTTTAAAAATACCACATCTAACACCGACCACGTACGATATACAACAACCGTTTTACTGAAAATCTCAAGCTTCAATCTCGTTAGATAAGACTACTCATTGCTGCTTATTAGAGATTCTTTGTTAGTGTTGCTTTATGATGTGAACAATATTTGACTGAATATATTTGGTTATAGACTTTTTATCCGAGTTTATGAATCAGTCACTTTGAGAAGCACTGTAAATCAAAGGATATCAAACATATTTATCATTTTACCCATAGACCCCACAACAGTCTGGATTAAAATACCTCTAGAAAGGGTTCAGCACAGTACCTTAAAGTTTTATGCAACGGGCGATATGGTATAGACAGCTAGTATAAAATCAATTAATCACATCTTTGTGCAATGAAAAAAACTTATCAAAAAGATGGTTTCGATGTATGTATCATATGATCACAAATTACTTTTTTTATCATGAATCTCAATCACATGATACAAATTGTTAAAGCGTCAAAATATCATTCCCTAATTACTACTTCGTTTTTAGTTGATCTCAACTCTGACAAAATCAACTAATTTTGTAACATGAACCAAAGCGTTAGTAAATCTATTCTTCAAATTCCCTAAAATGTGACAATTTCTGTGGTTAAATAGTAATTTTTTTTTACCTAATTATGATTGAACTGGTTGAATAAAATCGGTGATCATTTCCAGTAGTTCAAGATTAAAATCGTCAAGATACATCACACTGACCTTCAAACATGTCATTTTATTGGTTACATGAAATAAGCTTATCATAAACAAGTGTTTACAGATGAATGAATTTTATTGGTCAGTATATTTCCTTGGAGTCACGTGCAATATGTAATCATAGTAATCAGTCTAACTATTGATCAAAAAAGAGATTGTAAATGAAAACTATATATATATATATAAATATGCACAAATGCAGATTATTTGAATCCGTGAGAATACATCTATCGATATGTATATTTTGTGAGGATCGAGAAAATGAATCGATAATTTTTATTATTTATCAAATGTAATATAATAAAGATAATGAATTGATATTTCTCTTCTAATTTGAATAAAATAATTCATAATGAAATGACTATTGCATAATCATGAAAAATTTCTTTTTTAGTCGATAATCTACCTAACTGTTTACTCTTTCCTAAAAGCAGAAGTATATCATATTAACAAATTTATTATGGTTGAGTTTGTTCTTCCCAGAAATCCTAATGCACTAATTATTCCCATATGAAAACAATTTAATCAATAGTTAAGACTATTACACATAAGTGTAAAGGGAGTGTGTGTTTTTTTATTAAAAGAAAACTTTATATTTCTCTAATGCATAATAATCAGTTTCCATTTCATCTTTGTATATTACATCATCTATATTTACTTTAATTAATTAAATTAACATGATTAATTTACATCGATATTTCTTATTAACAATGAATTATTTATTTTATTCATGGATAATTTGTATAAACGTTAATTGTTTCATTCACTCAATTCACGAACAACATTTAATGGAACAAAATTATTCACAAAATAATGATAATAGTATTGTTAATAATCATAATAATCCAGTTGGTTGTATAGATTCAGATGGTATATGGCGTGGTTTATTTTCTACATGGATGGAGAATCCCACTTGTTGGTGTACATGTCAACCAGTATCTAGAATGGCTGTTAGTGTATGTGATGGTTGTGAAATAAGTAAATCAATAAATAATAATAATATTAATAATTTAAATATGAATCATAATTATGTGAATGATAAAAATTCATTAAATAATGAGTCTTTAATTGAAGTAATTAATCCATTTGATACAATAAAAACAAATAGTAATGAAATTAATCAAAAAAGATCAGTTGATAATTATCATGATCATAAAATATCATCAGGAAATTCTAACTGTAAGTTGATAAGTAATGTTCAAGTTAGTTGGTGAATACGTACTTTGTTATTTATTGAATTTATTGATTATAATCAGAGAAGGGTTTTGTGGATATTATAGTAATTTCAATAGTTGAATTCATGAGTCAATTGAAGCTAGACTATCATAAAAAGCCTGGAAGCAGTGGACGACCGTTTCGTCCTATTGTGGGACTCCTAAGCATTGCGTCTCTACTATCCCGCCTCTCGAGGTTCAAATCCAAGATCTATCAGCCTCGCGCGCAAACGCCCGAGCTCTAAACAACTGAGACTAATAGGTCCTGGGTTCGAATCTCACGAGGCGATATCGTGGATGCGCACTGCTTAGGTGTCACACAATAGAACGAAATGGTCGTCCGGTGCTTTCAGGTTGTCTATGATGATCTAGCTTTAATTGACTCATGAATTCAACTACTAAATAATTCATTACACTTACAAATGTTTCATTTCATTGCCAATTATCCAATTTAACCATACAAACTGACAGTTAAATTTCTATAATTAGAAACATGTTATTTACATTTTTTTCCAAATATTTGATTAGTTTACAATTAAAATACGAATTGATTAAATACTGAATACAAAAACGATCTAATACGTGAATAAATTATAATTACTTTTAAATATTTGCCAATGTTTATAATACTTCTTCAGTTAACATTAGTGCATAATGATATAGGTTTAAATTATAGAAAAATCCATACACAATTATTGTAAGTATCAATTAACTTCGAGATAGATTTTTCAAATTTCCAGTTAGATGTTGTTGTCAAAAACTTGAAATATTAATAATATTAAATGATGATAAAATGACATGGTATAACAAATGAGGTTTACAATAGAGGCTACTAAAAGACTGACTAAATTGTATCATGATTATGAAGAGATATGAGGATCTAAACTTTAATCATAAGTATATTTGAACGTTCAGTTTTGTCGATAAAGCATTATCCATGTTTGTCATATACATATATAGCATACGTAGGGTCACTTAGGCACACTACCACAAAATTTACAAACGATAGAGAGATAACGATTCAGCCTAGTCTTATTTATTTATTTGAACACATAAATATTGGTACAGAGGGGCACCGAATACATATGCACAATGCAAGTCACTTGATTTGTGTGTGGGTTGTGATACTACCCGGATGTCCAAACCGAAATAGGTGGTTTCCTTAGGAGGTCACACCTAGAGCCTTCGACCTAAAGGTCTGATCCACAAGATATTAGAGCAACGTAAGGAGATCCAGTCTGATGGTACTCGGTCACCAATAATTGATTCATACATCATTCCTTTCCTCAGGATCCTGGAGCCCTTGTGCACCAGTGGTTTGGAATCATGGTTTTTCAACTCCTCTAGGTGGGTCCTCCATAACCACTAACTGGTTTAAAGCGCCGGACATTCACTTTCCGTCTTCTCAATTTCATAATCAACAACTCCGCCGTGAGAAAGCAATGAGTATAACTTGTGTGGCAGTGGCTGTATATACGTGGTCATATGAAAGCATTTCGAGAAGGAGAGCTGACTCTCCTCATCCACGGCCGTACCAGGATATTTAGGAGCCTCAGCCTAATCTGGTTTTTAACTATTCTTCATGAAATAGCGTTTCACAAGAAAGCTAATTTTCATTTGGTAAAAATTTCGTGAATGAATATTAGGATAATTTAATATAATTATACATTTCTGTTTGTTAGTTATCCTGATTAAATCTATCCACTATAGATCAAGCCAATAACACTTTATCCTTTTATTTCATTAATTTCCAAAATATTTCATAAAGCATCTTAATAATATTTATTCATGGAATAAAATTTTTGGATAAATTCAAGATTAAAATAAGAGTACTGTAAATAATATACTACAAGAAATTATCGCTGAAATAATTTTCATTACTAAGGTCTGACTTGATAATTTCAAATAAATTGAACATTAGGTAGGTTTCTGTTAATAAAAATAATATACTTGTAATAATATACCGTAATTCCTTCTATATCAGTGAGTCATTTAGTGAAAACTTGACTCGAGTCAAAGAACAACTAAGGTCTACAAGAAACCACCTAGCAATCCTATAAAACTGGCAATAGTAATTTAGTTGCACATGTTTATAATGTTTATTTCACCACTCCCTCGTCAGTTCGCAGCTATACACCACTAAGGCGTTCGATACTAGAATAAAACACTTGTTTAGCATTTTCTCGTACATAATGATCACTTAGTTAAAATTAGTTCGTTTAATACAGTATTTTGAGTTTAACAGTCTCAACCAAACCCATCAGAAAAAATTAATTCCTTGCCTACTAAAGCATTATTGGGAATAATTTAATGGCTAAGGTTAATTTACAATGGAGTACATTCAAAAATTACAGTTCGATTAAATACAATGATAATGGTACTTTCTAGATTATATAAATCAAGAGGAGGAAAAAAATCACACCATATATAACCTCTGCATTAAACTTAAATCCTTACGACTTTGAGTCAGATTGACTTTTGTGGTGTTTTAATGGTATGTACCTAATATTTGGAAGTTTTGATGACTTTAGTTTGTCCCATAAACATATAAAGCCAGCAAACAAGGAACTTATCTTACAAAATCGAAAGTAGTTTGACCACCAAACCTGACCAACCTCTTCGTTTACTAATCCTGGCAACTTGACGTTTTTGTTCCCGAATTTCAGAGCGGTCATGCATGAGCTGTTCATGGAGGATATAGAGCCGCTAAGATGTGAGAACCAGGTAGATGATGATCACACACTTTAATAAACTGCAGGAAGGTTTAGATTTTAAATATCGTAGTTTTTATAACCCTAACTTAGGTATTTATCGGATATAATCGTAAAAATACATATATATGTTACAGTGTAATAGTCTCTTTTTTCTAAAGTTACTTATTATACTAATAGTTTAAAGATAAAGCTCATTCGAAAAGATCTTTAATGAGGATTGTAATAAATGAAAACTAAATTAAATTTTTAAAAAATCAGTGAAAGCCTTGTAATCAAGCTCACTAGCTTAAATATATCAACGAAACCTCAAAAATATTATTTCAATTTTAACTAGGATTATGAATGACCACTTTAGTGAAGTCACAAACTTGATTGTGGTAGTTACTAAACATCCCGTGACTTACATTCATTCTCCGGCTCATTTAAGTTAGTGATAAGATGTACTCGCCAATTATAACGATTTTTTCATAAAACGACAACAAAAAAAAAATCGTGAATATTGATTGAATATTATATAAATATAACCGAACGTTGTTAGGTTTAGCTAAAATTTCAATAGTTGAGATCATGAGTCAACTGAAGCAAGATCACCATGGAAAACCTGGAAGCACTGGAAGGCTGTTTCATTCCATTGTGTGACTCCTCAGAAGCGCACACCCACTATCCCGCCGCGCAAGATTCGAACCCAGAACATGTCGGTCTCGCAAGCGAACGCCTAACCTTCAGACCACTGAGCCGGTATCCAACGGTGTTAATGTTTAACTTCAACCAATCCACAAAATTGAGCGATACAGTCACCATTGTCTTCAATGAGTTACTATCTCACAACAGACCCGGTTAAACCCTACTGGTCACTGCTTCACACTAGAAAAATTGTAAAGGATTTTACTAAATGAATCATAGATTAAATAATCAGAATATAAATTGATATACTTATGCAGTACAAGTTATAGAATTATCTACTTTGATATATAGTTAAAATGTTTGAACATTTGTTTACATCTGTTTGATTTTAATTTTCTTTCTTTGTTTTGTCATTTTCTGAACTCTGTTGACTAAAGCATCGTAGAGTATGCTTTTGTTCATCATTAAAACTAGAGGTTAATTGGGCAGTGAACGTAATTTACTTTTCAAGATTTCTTTCTTTTTCTTCCAAGAACTACTTTAATCTTTTTGGCATGATAGTTACGTTAATCAACCTAAAATCAAAAAAGATATTCGAGATCAATAAGACTGTTAGAAATAAGAATAATGTTGAGTTTATATACAAATACTATTTTCTATTTGGTCCTTTTTTATACAGTAGACAACGCATAACGTCAAATTCATTCTGCTGGAGAACTAATGGGAGCCATGTCACACTAAACAAACATTTTATCAAGGTTTGATTGTTTATTAGAGCACTAGAGTTGTTGATAGTATATCGGAAAGATTATTTTTAATTTATACTACACCTCAACATGACCATTATGATGAAGAGGAAGCTCATCATTTTATAGTCTCAAACTATGTAAAAACATTTCTATTCTGTTTTATGGTTTATAATGATCTATCCGACATCACTTCATAATCAATATTATATCTGGGTTTATTCTATTTGATGATAGATATCGGTCTAATATGAACTCAGCAACAAACTACTCATTTCACTTTAATTTCCAAAAGATAAGTATTTATTAACACCACGAATTAAAATGTTTGTAAATAAATGGAAATAGGAAATACACTGTGTTGTTAAGAAATAGGAATATCTTGAAAATATTATTTATTCTGGACAAACGTCAGTTGAATAACCTTGGAAATCAGCCATTTTTTGATAAGACATGTAGATTATAGTGTTTACTTTGTTTAAAGTAATCCACCATCCTTTACTTTATAATGAAATTTAAAAAGTGGAGATATAGTGATGCAAATGTTTATCAATTCTTAATTCAATACTGATTTACATCTACTTATCATAAAGATCATAGCAATATACAGCTATGACAGTCAAATAAGAATGGAAATATAGTTTGTTAGTGGTAAAAAAGTGAAAACTATTACATACAGAATACTTTCATTATCATACTTTTGAGACTTTTCAGTCCAGACAAATGGTTCATATATGAATGAAGTTTGTTACTTCTTAAAGGTATCCACTGCTACGGATTAGTATAATCCATTTCAATGGCGCCGTCTGACCTAATATACGTCTAATTTAATCATAGTAAATTGATGAAATAGAGAAAATCAAATATAATAATTAGGTCTT